CATTCTAATAAAATCATAACCATTTCGACCAGTTAATATAAATAATGCTGTTGAAAATCTCTGGACATGTTCATTATAACGATAATTATTTTTTGATTGTTGCATATTTTTTGTTATATTATCAATTGATGTAAATAAAAATGGTTTTGGTGATTCAATAGCTTTTTGATTCTGTTCTAAATACAATGAAAATAATGACTGATATAACGTATTTTCATCATCATTAACTATTGTTGTTGATGGATTATGTTGTTTGTTCTTTAACTTTAATAGCGATATTAAATTTTCAATACGTTTCCTAATACCAATTTTTATAACAAATTTACTATAGGTGATGAAACTTTGCAACTTTGCAATCCTCTCAATCCCCCAATCCTCCACGGAAATATAGGTGATGCAACTTTGCAACTTTTCAATCTCTCAATCCCCCAATCCTCGACGGAAATATGGGTGATGAAACCTTGCAGCCTTGCAATCCTCTCAATACTCCACGGAAATATATGTGATAAAACTTTACAACTCTTCAATCCGCTCAATCCTCCAATCCTCCACGGAAATATAGGTGATGAAGCCTTGTAACATTGCAATCCTTTCAATCCTCCACGGGAAAATAGGTGATGAAACTTTGCAACTTTTCAATCCTCTCAATCCCCTAATCCTCCACGGAAATATAGGTGATGAAACTTTGCAACTTTGCGACTTTTAGTTTAAACTTTTATTAGAGAATGGAGAGTAGCACAAGCGGCCGAAGCCATACAGGGCATAGCAAATTAAGGAAAAGGCAAAATAAAAAAAAAAAGAAAAGAAAAGATGGAAGAAAGCAGTGAAGAAGATACGGAAAAACAAGAAGGGATAGGGGTAAATCACTCGAGAGTTTCGGGGCCAGTTTAAACAATAATCAATAATAAAAATGAAAAACGAAAAGTGCGAAAGTCGAGAACTAAAAAACGCCTCGTCTTCTCAATAAATTCAACGACCGAATTGAAAATAATCAATCTCTGGTCTTCATCTCTATCAGTCTCATACAATAGCAATGTCTTAACGTCAAACCGAGTTAGAAAGCTCAATTTCTTCCTCAGTTGTCTTCTTGCCCGTTTATAAACAATGTTGTATCGTTTGGTTGGTCCGACAGGTAGGACAAAGTGGAGAAGAAAGACACTTCCTTTTAAACAGATTACTATACAAAGGAGGATTATCGCACTTCAGTCTCATAAAGTGTATTTCAGCAGTCCTAGATGGAAAGGAAAGCTCCTTTGGAAATGCTTTAAGTAAGCGGCCATTCAAAAACTTCGATTTTAAACGCTCTCGC